TTGGTTATACACCAAGACTTTTTTGCATGTTTGTATTCACCTTGTAATTGTTATAAAAAAAATAATGAAAAAAGAGAGAGAGAGAGAGAGACCCTTACCGTAAAATTTCTTGTTTAGCAATTAAAAAGTTTTTTTGTCTAAATAAATGATGCACGCTCAGTTAAAAAAGTAAATCATTCCTGTAACAGCCCATTGTAGGACAGGGGAGTAATGATGATTAGAGCCATCACCTCCTACATCAAGAAGCCTCCACACGGTCTTTTATAAGTAGTCCGCGCAGACTGTTTAAAAAGTGAACCATTTGCATACCCTCCAACTTATGAAGATTTTGAAAATAATTTTTTCTAGTGGTAGCGAACCAGAGTAGAAATTTTTAAAGCAAATGGATCTCTCATAAAACTTTTATCAGAACTTAAGAATCTAGCCATATGGCCTGCACTTTTATAAGTAATAGTGGACAAGTTACGCTAAAATTATTTTTTTTCAAATATTAAGACATTAATTTTGCTACCGTCTGAAAAGAAGATTTCTGAAACTACGGAAATTCCGTAGCAGTTGGAGGGTATGCATTTGTGCGCATGAACCCAAAACCTTTTGTAAAAGTAATTGAGAGAAATTTATCTTATATATTTGAGAACTAAATCTGTAGTAGTTGACAAGTGAATAAGGCAAACCAATAATATTCATAAATAAAATAAATTTTTAGTCATATATTTGCTACCACTTTCTTATTTTAACTATATTCTGTATTAAATGACTCGTTCGGTAAATGGATATCCTTCACAATGGTCTGATCGGACTACCTATAAAACACCGTGTGGAGGCTTTCAGTTATAGGAGGCGTTGTTGGAGCTCCACAAATGATCCTGGTAATTGCGCACTAGCCACATTTACTTCCCGGAGAAGCTGGAACCCATCGCTATGAAGCTGAGTAGATTCCAAGCATGTTAAACTAACTTAATGATTATTTTTTAAATTTAAAAATAAAAGTCAGCTTGTGCATTCTCATTGCACAGAAAAATCATATTGCATGATCAAGTTTTCTCACAAAAAAGATCAAATTTTCTTTGGTGGTGATCAGAATTTTTTTTAAAAAAATATATAAAATAATCTTTTACCTGTGAAATATTCCTTTATTCCTAACTTTTTCTCTCTATGACCATCCGATAGATACTCGTCATTCAGGTATCAGTAGAGCAGATTTGTTGGCTACTCTTTCAGGGGAACCATATTATGTGGGCCAACGTTACTACTACAGTAAGGAAAATAATACAGAGAATGAATGAACATTCATGCCCCGTCCGGGAATCGAACTTAGGTCCAATCTAATGTGAGCTCAGCTACCTGACCACTGCATGACCCGGTCGGCTTTATCTTTAACTTAAAGGTATTTATTTATCTGTAATATTTATTTCTGATCCTAAGGGTTAAAACTAAAAGAGCGGAGTTTCTTAATTATAAAATAATTCCGTAATATTACTCTTTTTACACTATAGCAAAATAATGTTTTAGGTGAAAAGTATTTAACAAGTTTTTTGCTAACCAAAAATTAAATGGGAATTTGAAAATTATAAGTAATTGTAGGTGAGGGTGCAATGGTAACCGAGCAAATTGATTCATCGCTTTTTCTTCTTCTTTCAAATACAATAGAATCGAGAAACATGCACACATTGTGGGAATTTTAAATTACTACTTTTCTTATTTCGATGCAACAACCCGTTTATAGTTAAAAAACAGAAGGAAAAAAATTGATTGAATCAATGATGGGGATCCCAAAGCCAGCGCATAAAATAATATTAAAAAATTGTAACTTGAGTACTAAAGGGTTAAAATAAAAACTTATAATTAACTTCATTTCAATTTAATGTTAATTTCTTACCTCTTAATTGACCGATGCTTTGTACTGTGCGTTTGTGTAAAGTTGAACAGTAATGCGAAAAAAAGAGAAAAAGAAAAGGGGGAAAAATCATTCTGAATAACTTTTGATCGTGGATCTTCTCGTACTAGGATTTAATCTTGATGGTTCGAGGGAGTGACCTCTCAATTATGCTAATTATTAAATGCAGACGATAGTTTAAGTTAAAAATTGGACACAATAATGTTCTTTCTCTGAATAAAAATACCATTTTCCCCCGGCAGATTTGGATTTCTGACCCTGAAACTATATTTAATTTTATAACCGTCGTTGAACAGCCAACCTAATTGTGGGTTTATGGCTACCAATGTTCTACTCTGTAACCTTGTAATTTTGAACCCCATTCAGAAGACAAGGGAACTCCTGGATCAAGTATTGGGAGAAATTTGCTTTCGCGGAAGATTTTTGATGGAACTATGCCCGCATTTTCGTTACACGGGGAGGGAAACTACAAAAACCTCCCACGGTTAACCTGATGGCAAGGGCAGTCTAACCCATTATTCGTCTTCCACTGAGGATATATCACATACTGTGGTCGGTGAGTGCAGTGTGCGGAATTCGAATCAATCAGCCACTGCCGAGATTCGAACCCTGTTCACCTCATTGGGAGGCGAGTGCTCTATCCCTTGAGTCATTACGGCTCACCTTCAAACTATAGTAGATATATGATCCTAAAGGTTAGGTCAAGAGAGCGGACCAAAGTTTGGACCCTTAATGTTAATTTTACTTTTAACGTATTTCGATATATTTCGAGGATCTTTTTAAAAGGATAGAAAATTTTGTGAACCCAGTTATGAAAATAGCTAGCCCAATATTAACTCCAGTTTTAAAAATTATAAACTTTTAATTAAAATGATTTTTAAAAATTATTTATTGCTATTTTATTTCAAAACAGTCGAACACACTTTGAATAGGAAAGAATACCCATTTTTATATCATCTTTAAAGAAAGTAATTTCGTGTGTCAACATACAAAATTTGACGAAATCGGCTGAATAGTTCATAAAAAATTAAATTTTTATTAAGTCGTATATTAAAAATTAAATTTCTAACAACTATTCGATTAATTTTGTTCTAATTTTATGCTGTGAAACATAAAATAGCATTCTTTTGAAATGACGTAAAAACTTGTATACCTCAGGTTATTATTAAATAAAATAATAAAAAATATTGAACAATTATTAAAAATTCTTTTTTGCTTATAACAATCCCAAGATATAGCAAAATATGGAATTAGAAAATTTAACATTAAGGGGTCTAAGCTTTGGACTACTCTCCTAGCGAAACTAATTTGACGGCATTTCCCAGATTGCGGTAATAGCCTATATTTTGAGGGGCAAAAATTTAAATTTGTCATCTGACTGTGAAAAGCAAGTTTACTTCAGAGAAAGTAAGTTTTTGTGCCTGATTTCGTAACTTAAAAAATCACATTCACTAATTAAGTAGCATATTTGAGATAATCCCTTCGAACCCCTAAGATTTAGGTCTAGTACGTGAAAATCTGATCATTAGATCAAAAGTTATAAAAAGTGATTTTCCCCCCCTTCTTTTTTGCTCATTGTTAGATTAAGGTTTCAATTAAACAGATATTTAAAGATCTTATTCACATTTACATGGATTAATACACATTTTAAGATCTTATTCATAAATATGGATTTATAGAAACAGAGAATAACATAAATATCGAATATTTATCAGTTCGTGAAAACAATTCGCAATTGTATGATTGCAGATTTAAATACACATTATATTGCATATATATCTGGGTAGATAAGCACATTTTGTTTTCGGAAGAAAGAAAAAAAAAGGAACTATTGTATTATTGTATCAACTAATTGTGTTACTATTTTTTTAAAATAGAGAATTTCTTTAAAATATCAGGTAAAAAACAATGATCAGTGAGTCATATTAAAAATAAAATAGTGTTAAAACTGTGATATCGTTGTTTATTTTTAGTAAAAAAATCTACAAAGGTGTGTTAAGTATCTAAATGATTTTATTTACTTCAAAAACCAATAGCTGCCATGTTTAATAAACAAATGTTTTAATTTTAAACAGAACTTTTATCAAATGTTCAAATTACATCCAAAGTGTTAAATAAGACAAGTTAGTATTACTAATTTTGCTACATTTCATTAAAACACTAATTCATATTTATTAGAATGAAAAGTTAACTCTAATGACCAATAGCTGCTGTGTTTAATGAACAAATATTTTAATATTATCGTAGCATTTTTATCCAATTTTTTAGTCATATCCAAAATGTTAAAAAAATATCATTATTAATTTTGTTACCATTCAACGCATCACAACAATAATTTATATTTCTTAGACTAAAAAGTAAACTCTGATAACCAATAGCTGCTATGTTTAATAAGCAAATGTTTTAATTTTATCGCAGCACTTTTATCAAATGTTTGAATTATATATAAAGTGTTAGAAAAGTTATCATTATTAATTTTGTTACCATTCAACGTATTATCAAAAGACTAATTCATATTTATTGGACTAAAAAGTAAACTCTAATAGCCAATAGCTGCTATGTTTAAAAAATAAATGTTTTAATTTTTCCACAGCACTTTTATCAAATATTTAAATTAAATCAAAAGTGTTAAACCAATTAGCGCTAGTAGTTTTGTCACCATTCAACACATCTCCACAAGACTAATTCATATTTATTAGACTAAAAAGTAAACTCTGATAATCAATAGCTGCTATGTTTAATAAACAAATGTTATAATTTTACCGCATCACTTTTATCAAATATTTAAAATATCAAAAGTGTGAAAGAAGTTAGCGTTATTAATTTTGAACCATTCAACACATCACCTCAAGACTAATTCATATTTTTTACACTAAAAAGTAAATATTAAAGTACACAATTTTACAAACAATGAATTTTTTTTAAACATTAAAGTTGGCTGCTTTGTAATTTTTAAAACAAAATGAAAGTCAAAACTGAAGTATTTTATTAACTTTAAACGTGAATTTGAATATCATCTTTTAATTTTTTAATAAAACATTTTGACCACGTTTATAAATCATTTTTTTTTTAAAAAATTTATGCAAGTTTATTGACCTCCTACCTTGAATCTCAGAGGACCAACAGGCGGTTCGGCAAAAGGAATACCCAGGAACGCAGCAACTTCTAAGCCGTTCGTTAATTTCAAAATTTTCCCCCTGATCTGACCATTAGCAGTCCTGACAACCGGATAATTGTCATCGTCCTGTCCCATCACTAAATAAGGTAAACATAGAAGAGTCATATGACTGCACAGTATCAAAAACAACATCATCTTTGAAGGATTCTCGCCGTGTCTGCCTCTGATGAAGGATCAGATGTTGTTTAAAAAGATCTGAAAACTGGAGAGAGAAGAATTTAGCTGGAGCAGGTGGTTGCTAAGATACCGTCGCCTGGGGTCCTTGTTTAATCGATTAGAAGCTGTTTGGGGGGTGGTACTGGGGAGAGAAAGGGGTGAAAGTGAAAAATCTCGGACCATTGTAGTCCCCGACCTGTCAAATAAAAACGTGATCTTTGTTGAATGGAATCAAACAAAAAATCTGATTAAGTTTTAATTTGGGATATTAATTTAATCCTTTAGTGGGCCATTTATTTCTAGTAAAGGTAAATTAAAGAATTTTTGGAATTGAAATTTATGTAAGAATAGTAATTGATATAAGAAAAGAAAAACTCATTCAGCTTATAAAAAATGTACTTAAATTTTAATGCCATTTTTTTTTGGTGTCAAGTATATTTACCACGATCTATTACGAACTTAATGACTTTTATTTTTCTTTATTTATGAAATTAATTTTATGAATGCTACTAACTTCAGAAGGAATTATGCATTTTATAATTTGTATACGTTTTCTTGTACTAAAAAATGGTTGCCAATTTTATTCAAATACACTTCAAGAAAGTTGAAGTTATTACCAAATGAAAACCTAAATTAAAAGTGTTAGAAAAATTAACATGGACTTTAAAAATTGGTCGTAAGTATTTTTACCACTGCCTTAGAAAGGGATAAGCCATCCTGTAGGCGCTACCTGGTACGGCAGAAGAGAAAAAAATTTTCTCAGTATAAATATTTATATTTTAACGTTTATTTCTTAATTTTAAAAATATTATTTTAAGTTTAATCTATCATGAATCAATAATTCTAATATATATCTATATATGCAGGATATTTCAGTTTGGCTATATAGCTTATTTGATGCGAAAGTAACTAAATTATTAAAAAATTCTTAATACTTTAATGTAAGCTTATTGCACAAATGCCAACTGCTCTTGACGCGCCAAAATAATTTAAAAAAACGGTGAATAACTACAAACTAAATTTTGCAAATATTTGACTATTTTTGCTTGGGTGTAGCATTAGCATGACGTATCATTTTACATTTTAAACAACCTCGTGAAATATTAGTCACCATTTTTTAAATTTTTCCAGACTGTGATCACCCTGTTAATCGACCGTTTTTTTTCAAATCTTTTTTTAATGACCGTACAAATGTCAGCCATATTTAACTCATCGCGCATTTAAAAAAAACTTCTTTTTTTCAAAAAATAAAGGAACCCAAATTCATGATGAATAAGATAAGGCTCAGGTGCCCACCTAAATCGCACTACTAGGATTAGGACTGTTAATATTAGTTTAACCTCTTAACGATTGGTTAATTTCCAAGAAAACGGTCATAAAATACCTATTTTTTTTATCTCTGTATTAGTGCTGACATCTAGTTTAAAATAAACTAACTATCTACAATTACCTTAAAAATATCCTGGTACTGTCATCTAGTGTGTAAAATGAGAAATAAAAAGTTTTCCAGGCAAAAGAAATGAATTAGTTTTATTCTTATTGGCGCGTTACTATTGAACACTCCAGCCCGGAAGTATCACGGGAGCGAGAAACAGAGGGCGAAACCTCACACCGTCATTTTCACGGGAGCGAGAAGCAGCTTTTTTAAGTACTCGGAGTGCAAAGGGTTAAGAAGAATTTAATATTGGTTTGCAATGCGTCATTTTTACGAAGATATACTTTCCTCATAAAATAATCAGAGTTCATACTAACCTGGAAAAAATTAAAATGTGGTAGAAATATTAATACAAATTCTTTTATATTCTTATGTTTGTAGCTTCTAGAATATTTTATTTTCTCTAAGTAAATATATATTTATCCGACGGTGACGGATATGAAATTTAAATTAATATTTGAATTTGAATATTTAGTAGGGGCTGTGAATTTTAGGATTTCATATTTAATAATTACTTCAGAACGATTTTGTGCACCACTGCGTACACACAACTTGAAGATTATATAAAACTTATTAATAGAGGTGAAGAATTCTGAAATGCGGGCAAACGTAAACAATTAAAGCCTACTTTTGATTTGTTTTTGGCTACCGGTTTCAATACTATTGGAAACTAGACCAGGTTCATACGCATTTTGAAAAAATTAAAAAGTGGTCGTAATATGAATTTCCTTATATTAATTAATAATATAAAGGGGGTGCCAACTGCTCCACTTTCGGCCAAAATTTTAATAAATTAATAAGTAAATGAAGTAAATAATAATTTGAGTAATAATAAATGAAGTAAATAATAATTTAAAGGAAAAAAAATTATTTACCAGATTATTTTATTTTCTATAAGTAAATATATATATATACAGAGGTCTGAAGGTGTTAAATGTGAACTTATATTTCGATAGTGAAAGCTAATACAGTCGAAACTCGATCCATCGTTCAGGTATTTTTCGCTTCCCCGGATGTATCGTATTATTTTAACGGTCGAACCACAAAAGCTATTCTTATGGATGCGTTTTTTTTTGGCCACCAAGGATAGGAGTCTAGGATTAGTCTTTGTAGGCCAAGGTGTTTTCAATATAAATTCAAACAACGATATCGAGCTTTTGACCGGAAGTGGAACTTCCGGATAGGAAGTATACAACTGCTTACTACAGCTTATTCTGCGAGATGATATTTTCAAAGAGATAATTTTGTTTTAATGAAAATAATAAATTATCTGATTTCTGAGCTCAAATCTGATGTATTTCATGATATTAATTAATTCTGGTGAGTTTGAAGTGAAAATTTGTTTCAATTATTTAGGTTAAAAAATGTGACATGGTTGCTAAATTTAGAAAGAACTCGCTTTTTTGATAGTTCTGATTTGGCTTGGCCTCTTTTTACTCGTTTATTACTGTTTGTTCTTGGTGCAAGCCGTGCACCATCATACGTTAGTGTTAGCATGTTGTTAGAGCAGCGAGATTAAGTTCATTTTATAAATTATCATTTAGGTTTAAAGTTCGAAGATAGTATATTGTTTACAAGGTAAGAAATGCTCTTGAAATGGCTGGTCTTCAAATGACTATTCTTATAAAGATTCATCTTTTAAACACAAATTTACAAATCAGATTTTTAAAAAAACTTACTCAAGAGAGTCTCAAAAAACAGTGATCAAGTTGTGAGCCAAATGGCTTTAAAACACACCGAAAACAGTAACCCGGAAGTCTAGACAGTCAAGAGCTTACAGCGCTCCCTCGTGTAAAAACACCATCACTAATGTTAATAAAACCCGTTTATTAAACCGTATTTGAAAGTTGATTCCCAAGTTTATCGTTGAGAAATCAAAGAATATAACATCAATAATTTAATAATTTTTCAAAAATATTAAATTTAATTCATTTTGAGAGATAAAAATAATAGCTCCTGATGCATCACATGCGTAGGAACCTAAGGGTGCGCGGTAACGGTCCTCGTTAAACTGTTCTACCGTAAAGTGCTCGACTTCGCACGCAGGTCTTCGGGCTACCAAAGCAGGGGAGCCATCATCTCTGCAGAGGATTAAAACTGCGATGGCAGGTCTTCGGATCATCCTCAGCGATGTTTTCCGGCCATCGCCAATAGCCCATTGTGCAGGCAGCTCTAGTGCAACATAAATAAAGTACCTAGCTATTAATGAAAAATAAAATAAGGATTTGTCAGAGTTTGAGGAAAACTTCATGGCATCAGTTAATGAAAATATTGAAACTTGTGATGTTGTCGGTTCAAGAAATGATTGCAAAGGCTGAGAAGGTTGATGCATTGATGAAGATAGGGAACTTAACTACCAGTATAAAGATTTGCGGGAGCTTTTGATACAATGAGGATAAATACTCGAATGAATTCACACGAACTTACAAAAAATTAGCAGCAATCTGTTAAGCAGGCATTTATTATTTGCGCTAAATGCATTTATCAATCCTTCTTTTGTACCTAAATGTTCAGCTACAGGTGGAGTAGAGCAGAACTCTCTACCTATGGCAACACTTCAAATGCTTTCACCATTAGCGTGTGGAGAGTCATAGAAGAAGGAAGTACGTTAGTTTCTGTTTGATTTTTAAATATATTAAAATCTTTTAAGTTAGGAAACGATATGGAACTGAAAACTATATTAAACATAGTTCTAAAATAAAGCATCATGGAAATTTAAAAAATTATTTTTAGCAATCAATCAATTAAATACGAAACATATTAAGAAAAGGAAAAATGTAGTAAATTCCTATACAACTGAAAAGAAGAGGAGAGGGAAGGAATGGCCAAAGCCATGGAACCAATCATAATTAAAAAACTATCACTTAAAAAAATTTATCCGCTGTCCGGAACAAGTTGGCATCTCTGTTGCTCTCCCTACATTTTCAAGTCCTATTTTGTAGTAGTAGTGAGTAAAAACCCTATAAAAAGAATTTACTATACCAAGAATCATAATTAAAAGACAATCACTCAAAAAAATTTATCCGTTGTCCGGAACAAGTTGGCATCTCTGTTGCTCTCCCTACATTTTCAAGTCCTATTTTGTAGCAGTAGTGAGTAAAAACCCTATAAAAAGAATTTACTATACAAAGAATCATAATTAAAAGACTATCACTTAAAAAAATTTATCCGTTGTCCGGAACAAGTTGGTATCTCTGCTGCTCTCCCTACATTTTCAAGTCCTATTTTGTAGTAGTAGTGAGTAAAAACCCCATAAAAAGAATTTACTATACCAAGAATCATAATTAAAAGACAATCACCCAAGTAGCACATAACATTAGATAATATCAGAAAAGCGGCAAAATCTAACGTTATATTACACAACTTGTAATATTAGAAAGATATAAAAGGTCGCTGTTTGCTCAGCCTTTTATAATATTAGATTCAATGCAAACTAATATTATCTAGCGTTCGCCATAATATTCTTTTGCGTTAGTTTTGATGCTATATAATATTAGATTTTGTATTTTCTGATATTATTCTGCTTTTTATTTTTTTGGAGTAAGCAAGAGGAAAATATGGATGGTAGTAGAATAATTCGACGATACAATTTTACTTAATTTTCTGTATTGTTGTGAAGCAGTAAA